GGACATTGGGGACATGGGGACTCTGGGGGTGTTGGGGGGATATTGGGGGTGTTGGGGACACTGGAGGGACATTGGGGACAGTGGAGGACATGGGGTGACATTGGAGGGGCACTGGGGACACTGGGAGCATGGGGTGGCCTTGGGGACACCATGATGGGGATGGTCCCTGTCCCCATCCCTCTGGTCCCCGTGTCCCCAAGGTGCCACCACGTTTGGGATAGTGATGTCCCCAAGGTGCCACCATGACGGGAATGGTGATGGTCCCTGTGTCCCCAAGGTGCCACCATGAGGGGGATGATGTCCCCAAGGTGCCACCATGATGATGATGGTCCCTGTCCCCATCCCTCTGGTCCCCATGTCCCCAAGGTGCCACCACACTGTGATGATGATGGTCCCTGTCCCCATCCCTCTGGTCCCCATGTCCCCAAAGTGCCACCAGAGTGTGGGTGGGGATGTCCCCAAGGTGCCACCACATTTGGGATAGTGATGTCCCCAAGGTGCCACCATGATGATGATGGTCCCTGTCCCCATCCCTCTGGTCCCCATGTCCCCAAAGTGCCACCAGAGTGTGGGTGGGGATGTCCCCAAGGTGCCACCACATTTGGGATAGTGATGTCCCCAAGGTGCCACCATGACGGGAATGGTGATGGTCCCTGTGTCCCCAAGGTGCCACCATGAGGGGGATGATGTCCCCAAGGTGCCACCGCGGTGGTAATAGTGATGTCCCCAAGGTGCCACCATGATGGTGATGGTCCCTGTCCCCACCCCTCTGGTCCCTGTGTCCCCAAGGTGCCACCACGATGGGGATGATGTCCCCAAGGTGCCACCACAGAAGGGACAGAGATGTCCCCATGATGCCACCATGCTTGGACAGTGACGTTCCTTGCCCCTCACCCCCAGAAGGGACAGAGATGTCCCCATGATGCCACCATGCTTGGACAGTGACGTTCCTTGCCCCTCACCCCCCGTGTCCCCACATCCCTGAGATGCCACCACGCCGGGACGGCGACGGTCCTTGTCCCTCACCCCCCCGTGTCCCCAGGGTGCCATCGTGGCGGTGACGGGTGACGGCGTCAACGACTCGCCGGCGCTGAAGAAAGCCGACATCGGGGTGGCCATGGGCATCGCCGGCTCTGACGCCGCCAAGAACGCGGCCGACATGATCCTGCTGGACGACAACTTCGCCTCCATCGTCACCGGTGTGGAGCAAGGTGCTTGGGGACACCCGGAGGGGGTCGGTGACATCGGGTGACGTCACCTCCATGACGTCACCCCCACCCCCTTCAAAGGGTTGTTGAGGTTCCTCACCCAAGAACTTGGGGTTCTTCACCCACATCTGCGTCCCCAACCCAGATCTTGGGGTCCCCCCTGAACCCAGACCTTGGGGACCATCAATTGGGCCAACTGGGCCAGGGACTGGGTCAACTGGGCCAGTAACTGGGCCAACTGGGCCCTTAACTGGGCCAACTGGGCCATCAACTGGTTCATTAATGGGTTGTTGAGGTTCCTCACCCAAGAACTTGGGGTTCTTCACCCACATCAGCGTCCCCAACCAAGATGTTGGGGTTCCCCCTGAACCCAGACCTTGGGGACCATCAATTGGGCCAACTGGGCCAGCGACTGGGTCAACTGGGCCAGTAACTGGGCCAACTGGGCCATCAACAGGTTCATTAATGGGTTGTTGAGGTTCCTCACCCAAGAACTTGGGGTTCTTCACCCACATCAGCGTCCCCAACCAAGATGTTGGGGTTCCCCCTGAACCCAGACCTTGGGGACCATCAATTGGGCCAACTGGGCCAGCGACTGGGTCAACTGGGCCAGTAACTGGGCCAACTGGGCCATCAACAGGTTCATTAATGGGTTGTTGAGGTTCCTCACCCAAGAACTTGGGGTTTTTCACCCACATTGGGTTCTTCACCCACATCTGCATCCCCAACCAAGATATTGGGGTCCCCCCTGAACCCAGACCCTGGGGACCATCAACTGGGCCACCAACTGGTCCAACTGGTCCAACTGGGTCACTAACTGGTCCCCAGGCCGCCTGATTTTCGACAATTTGAAGAAATCCATCGCCTACACGCTGACCAAGAACATCCCCGAGCTGACGCCGTACCTCATCTACATCACGGCCAGCATCCCCCTGCCCCTGGGCTGCATCACCATCCTCTTCATCGAGCTCTGCACCGACATCGTGAGTGGCCCCGGACCCCAGCTGGGCCAACTGGGCCAGTAACTGGGTCAACTGGGCCACCAACTGGGCCACCAATGGGTCCATCAAACGGTTTATCAACGGGTTGCTGAGGTTCCTCACCCAAGAACTTGGGTTCTTCACCCACATAGGGGTCCCCAAC